GCGTTTTTATTGAACGGAAATGAGAAAGATACATAAGGTATTACATTTGTGTTGGAAACAGTATTCAATATATAATAGAAATGTAAATCTACTTTTGTTGAGTGGTATTTTCCTAATTGTAAATGTTTAAACATAAGAAACAGTATAGAAAATAATGCAGTGAAAACCACCATAGACAAAATTGAAGTCCTTTTGTGTACTGCTTCCAAAATTATATGTAGATGTAATTCTAAACGGTCTTATTAAATAAGAAACACAGAGCCAAATAGAGAGTTAAAAGCCCAGAGATTGAGCAGTAACCAAGAGCTAAGACCACATTGTCTTACCACTTGCTGCTGTTCTTCCCCTGAGAGAGAGAGACCTTCTTCCTGTGTCCTGTCTTTTTAATTGCCTTTCTGTTCTGCCTTCTCATTGGCTGTAAACCCAACCACATGACTTCCTCATCACTGTCTGTCTATAGAGACCTCTCCAGGTCTCTGTGGTCGGTACTGAGATTAAAGGCATGTGCCTCCATGCTGGCTGTGTCCTTGAACACACAAAATTCTGCCTGCCATATGATAGGATTAAGGGCGTGTCCTACCACTACCAGACTTCTACTTTGGCTCTTAGCTCTGATCCCCAGGCAACTTGATTAACATACAAATAAAATCACATTTCAGCACAAATAAAATATCACCATAATTATATTTTTCCTTTTTCTTTTTTTTTCTAAGCCAGCAAGTGCTTGGTCCTCCACTCCAGTCTAAGCCTACAGAGGACAGATTCATTCTAGGTAAGTAAGAAAAGCTAGGAAGGGTCAGAGAGGGAAACCACACCTCTACCTCTAACTCCTATGGGCATGTCTAAATGGAGTAAGTTTGCAATGAGAAGAAAGATAAGCGTTCTCTTCATGATGGTAAGTTATATATAGTAAGCTAGGCATTTTTATTACTTGAAGACAAGGGGGGAAATTCAAAGGGCTAAATCTAAGAGGCCATGCCTGTAATAAGCACGTCACTTTCAGTTGTACCTATTGAATTCATGGTGTTCAAAAAGCCAGTTTCGTTACAAACAATAAAAGAGTTTAACAGTATTCATTAAAGTTGATTTCAGATATCAAGGCTCTTGTATGTGCAATGCTGAGTCCACAAGAAACGGGCTTTCAGTATATACCAAAATATAAACAAGGGTTGGGGGAAGAAGCTCTTTGGCAGTTCAGCTGAGGCTGAGGGAGATGGCTTAACAAGGAAGGATGTTTGACACCAAGACTAACAACCTGAGTTCAATCCCTAGAGCCCACGTGGCAGACAGTGAAGTGACTTCACCAAGTTGTCCACATACATACATGCACACAAATAAAGAAACATAAAAATTTAAAGGTATAACTAAAACTTCACTGCTGCTTTAGAAACTAGACCATTATAACCAAGAAAATCAATTCTCTAAGCAAAAATAAAATGTTGAAGTATTACACTATACTTTGCATTCATTAAATAATCAAGTCAGTAATATTTCAGAGGACTATCTTGAGGAAGAAAAACAAGTGTTCTTCAAAATAAAGTTGCTACTTCTTATACAAATTAAATACTTTCCATAATTGGTAAATAGGAATAATTGTTTTTAAAACTCCACAATTGTGACACAGCGACTCTCCATATAAATTTTAAATATGATGAAACCTTTGCAAGCACAAATGCCAAAAGGTTAGCAGCTGATTATTAAATGTTCCTGCGAGGAGAATTTCTATTAATAAAAAGTTATTCTCAGCCACAAATGAGACATCTTTATCTCCTTCCTCCACTCAAAGCTCAAGACACAGAAAGGTCCTAAGGGTCAGAAGAATGGTAGGACTGAGGCAAAACAGTGTCTTCTGGACATGAAAGGACCGATGCACTCATCAACTCACAGCAGTTGTGGTTGACTGCACAGAGCTATACAAGATCAAGCCAGTCCATTTCAGCAAGGAGGGAGGAGAGGCTCATGAGCCCCCAATCCCAAGTCAGGAGCTCTGGCTGCTAGGGGAAGGAGAATGATAGTTTTTTTTTTTTTTTTTTTTTTTTTGGTTTTTCGAGACAGGGTTTCTCTGCGTAGATTGCGCCTTTCCTGGAGCTCACTTAGTAGCCCAGGCTGGCCTCGAACTCACAGAGATCCGCCTGGCTCTGCCTCCCGAGTGCTGGGATTAAAGGCGTGCGCCACCACCGCCCGGCAAGAATGATAGTTTTAAGGACATGGACCCTGGTCGATTGAGCATTCTCAATGTTCCAGTAGATAAGCAACATAAATTGGACTCCTTGAATAATATATACATTGTGTAGTTATTGTAAATATAAAGATTTTGTGTGTACATATATGTATAGATGCATAGGTATATAGAGATACATGATGACATGAAATAGGGAAGGGAACAGCAGTGGGGTGGATCTGGAATTATAGGGAGGGTAAATATCAAAATACATTGTATGCTATTTGATTTTTGGGTTTTTTTGTTTTGTTTTTTTGGGGGGTTATTTTTTAGTTTTGTTGTTGTTGTTCTTTTGTTTTGTTTTGGTTTTGGGTTTTGTTTTTTTGTTTGTTTTTGTTGTTGTTTTTTGTTTTTTTGTTTTTTGGTTTTTTTTTTGTTTTGTTTTTTTTGGTTTTTTGAGACAGGGTTTCTCTGTGTAGCTTTGCGCCTTTCCTGGAACTCGCTTTGTAGCCCAGACTGGCCTCGAACTCACAAAGATCCACCTGCCTCTGCCTCCCGAGTGCTGGAATTAAAGGCATGCACCACCACTGCCCAGCTTTGAAACTCACAAAGAATAAAGAATCTACACAATGTATATTTTAAAATACTATAGATCAAGTCCAGTGTAAGTCAACTTTCTCCAGACATAAAATCAACTTTAAATTGTAAACAAACAATGGTGCCCAGAAAATGTCTCTAACCCTCATTTACAGAAGGCAAGAGACAATTCCTCAGCCTCTTCAGCTTTCAGCTTCAGAGTCAAGAGCAGGTTTTGCATTCAAAGTATTCTAATATAATCAAGGATTCAGAAAGAAGACAGAATCTGTTCTGTATGTTTGGAAGAGAGCTTAGGAATGACTCATCCTTCACAGATTAACAGCCCCAACAAAGCAACACTTCCACTCTACTTCTGCTAAATAAAATAAAGGTTCAATTGAAAAGACCTATTACCAAGCAGACCTGCCTAAGATTTAATAAGTGACCTGGCCCAGTTACCCATCAAGTATCCAGAATCACTTCAAATTGTCAAGATCCAACTTACCTGAACATACTTCCCGGATATTATAAGTGATCCTAGCAGTCACAAAAAGAACAGTAAAAACTATATTCAGTATTTCTTGGATGGTTATCCTTTTAACTAACTGCATGTAATCATAAAATATGTTCTCCATAATGTTTAACAGCAATAGGCTGCTTTCTCTACTTACTGAGATGGTACTCACAATTATAATTTAAAGAGAGAATTTTAATGTAGTTAGAAGAGCCATAATAGTACCATTCCAAAGTTTCACAGGTAATTAAGGTACATGTTCGGTGCATGGAAGGAAAGGGCCCTCTGCCACTGCAAGCCTGCAAAGGTCATACTGAAGAGAGCTTCCTTCACACAAGCCTCATTACTGGTGGCAAAGGCCAGCAAAAAGAGGTTTCTTTGTTCTTGGCCAAGATTAGAGCAGCTCATAGTGTCAACAGGGAAGGAACTCCAAATGTGTAGGTAAAAACCAAAACTAAAACTTCATTAGGAGCTGGTATAATAGTGATGAGTTCCCAAGTCTACAGTTCATGAAAATCAAGTAATAAACATTAAAAATATATTTAGAATCACTGGTACTTATTATATAAATTATATAAAGATATTTAAAATTCTATAAAGACAAACTTGGCTTTTATTCTTTCTGAGGTCTTTCTGATACTCTAGGTGTTAACACTAGACCAAATATTTGTGTTTCAAAAAAAAAGTAAGGCAGTATTATACAAATACAACACTCCTGCTGAACAATTATAGAAGAGCTATTAATAAGCTCCAAATTTCAAATATACATTAAACCCTAAACTAATGAGCAAATGCAGTATTTCGCTAAAAATGGATAAAGCTGCCCAAACTGATAGACAAAGGAACAGACATACACAGAATACGTAATGATTTGGAAATACACACAACACCCCAGAAAGGCTTAGAAAATCCTTTCATAATCTTTTTTTTTCCAATCTAACTTTTCTGACCTCTCCCTGGTCCCAGAAGTTATTGGGAGCCTAGCTCTATCATTTGCTTACTGTTATGTCCTCCATAGCAAGAGACTGCCCTTCCATCTGCCTATCTAAATCCTAAACTGCCACCTGGCCTAGGCTGACTTTCTCTGCAAATTTCTGGAAAATACCGTAATATGCTATCTGCTATATTTTCGTTGAAGCTAATTAGGTATCTCAAAAACTAAAGTAGTTTCTTCCTACACTGAACTTATAGAGAACTGAATTGTTAAACACTACCTTCTGGCATTGCGTATGTAATTTTTCAAATATTTGCTTTGAATCATAATAGATATGAAACTTGAAAGTAGCAACCATATAAATAAAAATCAATTTAAATATATAAAATTGGCATCCATTTGTAGTAAATGTTTTGAACATATTTAGCATACATGGATTCCTGATCAAATCAGCTCATTTAGATTGAAGTGAATCTGTCAGGAAGTCACAGTTAAAGACCAAATGAAGAAGGCACCAAAGGATACCATGTGTCTCTACGAGAAAAGGCATGGCACAAAGAGAGCAGGTTCAGTTCTAATGACACACTGAGAGAGTCCCACAAAGAACATGGCTACACTGCTAGCTGGGAACGGAATAAACAAGGACAAAGGAACAACCTGGAACACTTGATGACAAGAGAGCACTTGCCACCATCTGAAGAGCAATAAACTCAATCACACGATCTAGTCAAGAGAAAAGGATGTCATTTGATATTTCAGTCCTTAATAGATTCTGAATAAAATGGAAAACCAAAAAAAGGAATCAAAACTCTTACCATCATCTTCTCAAAAAGTTTTAAGACTTCGTTCTCAGACAGCGGCTTTGGAATGTTTTCCATTGTCTCAGAAGACACTGATGAGCGATCGCTGCTTCCAGACGCAGTCTTCAGATTGGGAAGAGGGGGTCGCTCTTTCTTGCTCCCTGGAATTCTTATGCTGGCAAATTTGTCCAGCTATAAAGAAAGATAAAATAGCAAACAAGTCAATATCTACTCATGCATCAACACTTATCTAGTTCCAAAAACAAGTAAAAAACACAGGGTCAGTCACATTGTCACTGATTCGTCAAATGACAGTCACAATCAGAAGCTTCAAAATTAACAGTATTGAATGCTGAAAGGTTCCAGCAGGAATCCTATTTCAAGGCAGAAGGGAAATCATATAACTTCAAGAGTCTTTCAGATTTTAAAAGTCACAGAATTTCACATTAAAGATTCTGGTGCCAGATGACCTATGTTTTATAGATAAGCAAACTGAACAGTCTCCCAAAAGCAAGTCAGCTAGCAGTTATGGCACCAACTGTTACTTCTTGCCCTGCAAGCCAGACCCTACCCTTGTCCAGTACCCTCTTGAAGACTGTCCCCTAGCAGGGGACAAAGAAGGGCACAACAGTCATGGGTTAGGAATTTAAATTTTGAACAGTAATGCATGATAACATCCCTTTTTGCTCACGCCAGTCTACATCTGAACTTTCTGGATATCTACAGAGTAGGGCCTTAATATAGCTAGATTTCTGTTGTAACAGAATGTCTTCTCTAACAAGATCAAATAGCTGGCTGCTAATTGAAAATATATTAATATTAGTCTAGAAAGCTGATTTATCATTCATTCAAAATTGTCCTCACAAAGAACCTAGATTCCTATTTCAAGACCCATAAAACTTGCAAAAATCAAAAGGGTAAAAAAAAAGGCTTCAAGAATATAAGGTTATTTAAAGCATAACCACTGATTATGTAAATTTCTCAACATTGCTATTCATATAAACCTATTGTTTTCACTATACCATAAATAGGGGACCAACAAGATTGGCTTAGTAGGTAAAGGCACTGGCGACCAATGATGATCTGAGTGGGACCCATGCACCTACATACACAAATAAATAAATGACTAAAAATGTATGGATTAATGAAGTGCAGTATACATTACAGTAGTACTAACTACATATGGTTACTGAGTTCAATGTTTAGTTCATTAGCTGCATAGCCAAATTTCATGTGTTCAAGGGTCATATGTAGTTAGTGGCTACCACACTGGTAAAAAACACATTTAGAATGTTTCTATTATTGCAGAAAGCTATATTAAAAGAGCTAGTAGAAACATTAAAGAAATCTGACATCTAGAAATCTTTATTTTTAAAATCCAATTCAATTATGGTATTATTTAATTCACTAAAGAAATAGGTCAATTAATGAAATGTAAAAATAATGATAGTTACATTCAAAATAGGCCTCTGAATTGTCTATGAGAATATTGTCTAGGGAAAATATGATGCACTGTACTTCAACAATCTACTTGACATGAGCTAGACTTCTAAGACTAAGTTAACTACTGCAAATCTGAGAAAGTAGTTACAATATACCATTGTTCTCATCCCACAAACAAACCACAAAAGCTGTAAAATGACAGTTGCTGTGTTTTCAACTCCTCTGACAGCTGAAGACAGAAAGGAAAGAGGCGTTAGCTGGAGGGGAAGGGAACAGAGAAACAGGGAGAGTACCGAGATTACAGGGGAACCGGGTATGTACAGATGGTTTTTCTTGTCAACGTGCCCTCCATACTCAATAACAGTGTTCTCATTGTACCAGGTATATAAACAACGAAAGAGAATACATATCTAACCTCAGCAAGGTCCTAGTGACATTCTTCCGTTTGTTCCATTTCACCAGTACTTCAAAGTTGAACTAAAATATTCCTCTAAACTAGGAGGACTTGCTGTCTGTTTCCCCACTTGTGGGAATGGAGTTCAACATCCTATGTGTCTCTCCAGGGATAAGCCTTGTCTGTTCTGAGCCTTACATCAAGGCGTATAATTCAGGCTGAATGTAGCATTAAGTAATTGAAATAAGGTTTGGAAAATATTCCTTCAAAGAAAAACGGAAGGCGAGGGCATAAAAAATGAGATGCTAATAAGCAGCATAAGCACTGTCTTCATGACCATTCATTTTAGTTCACAAAAATATCCTTGTCCTCCACCATGGGTCAGGGGTACAGAAACAAACAGCAGTTGAGTGTTCAGTGACACACTGATTACTGCATGGCTGTTGGCTGAGCGATTAGAAAGCTCTAAGTTCTCTCAGAAAGCCCCAGAGGACAAACTCGCCACTAACTCTTCCCAATTCTTAGCCACATCTGCAGCAGGCCAAAGGTTGGCCAGAGCAGAAGCTGAGTGATATCCTTCCTGAGGCACAAAAGCCTTTCAGCAACTGCAAGCTGTCCTCCTATGACATAGACCAGGGAAAGACCTGAGTGAAATGTCCATGACACACCCATGCCTGGAAAGGATGGTGATAGCTGCTATCTGAAGGCTAAGTGCAGCTCACCAGGTCATGGTTTCCTAAAGAAAGAGAGAGCAAACTGGAACTAGTAACAAAGAACAGCTCAGCATTAACCCTAAAAATGGGCATCAGATTCAAAACAGAGAGCTACCCCAGAATTCTGAAACTTGCTAGTTCAGTGGCAAAGTCAAAAACCAGACTGCCAGGGGCTGGGGCACTTGCTGCACAAGCAAGAAGATCAGAGTTCAAATCACCAGTATCGGCATAGGAAGCCAGGAGTTGTTTTAGGGATGCTGGTAAACCCAGCTGCTCAGGCTCTTAGGTGAGGGGGACAGGTCACTGGGATTTGCCAGCCCTCAGCATAACGCTAGGTTCAGTGAAAGACACAGTCACTAAGAATAAGAGAAGCCTCGAGATGCCTAGCAGTTAAAAGAGCATATCGCTCTTGCAGAGGACCAAGTTCAGTTAGCTGCACCCAAGTATCGTTACTCACAACCACCTGTGATTCTAACTCCAGAAGATATGATGCCTTCTTCTGGACTCCACAGACTCCAGAAGATATGATGCCTTCTTCTGGACTCCTACACTCACATGTGCACACACACACACACACACACACACACACAATTAAAAATTAGGTATTTCTAGATGATAGACAGACAGATAGACAGAGGCAGAGAATAGTAACACAAGACACTCAATGTCCTCCTCTGGCCTTCATGAATTTGTGCACACACAAATACACACACACACACACACACACACACAAATACACACACACACACACACACACACACACACACACATCCATCATACACACATACATAAACACTCACACATATAATCATACACTAAAAAAAAAAGGTAGCTTGGCAGATTTTCAGTAATGTTCAGATCCCAAGCATTCAAATCATGTGAAGCCACAGAAGAGCTGAATCCAAACTAAAGGAACAAGGTCTATGCTTTCCTTGTGCTAAACCAACTGGCCTCCAACTCTAACAGGCTGGAAGAAGGGAAAAGCTTTCTTTTCTGAGAAGACAGGAAATGACACCTTTGACTTGTGAAGGAAATTCTCTATCAAATCCTTTCCATAAGCAGAAGCAAAATGAAGACAATGCAGACAAAAGCTGAGGGACTCCGGAAGGCCTGTCATGTACAACAGAAACTGTTAAGCTTTTAAGGTAAAGGGAATGATGAAAAGTAGAAGTCCAGATCTACAAAAAGAAATGAAAACCCAGTGGAGAATGTGTCAGCTGGCTGTTGTTGGACAAAGGTAAGAGCTGTACAGTCAAGAAAGAGGTGGTAAGCAAGGAGGTATGCTGCCATATAGATATGGAGCAAGGAGAATGCAGAATGCATTTGCAGAAAACCCTGGCATCTAACTCACCAGGCTAAACATTCTCTACTCTGACAGAACTAGAAGATGTGCCCAGAAGCTACAGTCCCTATGCATATTTGTACTCTGTCTTGATAGTTCTTTGAAAACAAGTAGGAGATACCAAAATAATTTTTGTAAACCAAGGGACTGGTTAGTCTACCTTTAGGCACTACTGTAGCTCTATAACTTCTATAGCTGTACGTGTAGTGTCAATTTCTCAATACAGAAACTTTTCCGACTCTTTTCAGACACAAAGTGTAATTAATTAACATGGGAAACATAACGAAGTGAAGTTAAACAGAGCATCATTAATGCAACATCAATATTGCCAATGCAAACCCATCAGTAAGTGTGGAAAGTGAACTGACCTGAAGAAACAATCACAAGCCAGTGTGTCGTGCACAACCAATGGCTCCAGGAGTGACACAAGAGTTCACAAAATATTCGTTTTCAACAGAAGCCTGTACTTCTAAAATTAAGAATGCCTACAAGTAATAAAACCTGCAAAATTGAGTTTCTATACGCGCCCTCCGTTTTCTTTCTGTATGTCAGGTAGGAAGGTAATAGCATGAAAGACAGCAGGGGATAGGTAATATTCATTTAGTCTATACAGTAAAGAAAATGCATGTCTAAAGAGAAGACAAGCATAGTAAACTCCATAGTAGCAAACTCATAGAACAGCACAAAGAAAACTCAACCCAGTATGTGTGTAATGAAACTACATTTGCATCTGTAAACAAAAATGTATAGAAATAATAAAGTACAATTAGCACCTCTCCCCTGAACATTTAGTATGAAGCTTTAGGGAAAGGTCCAATTTATACAAGTGCAAAAGCCAATTTACACCTCACCCTCTTACAGCTAGCCAATGTCAAAATGAGGAAAATGAGCACATCCCCCTTCCAGCTCCTAAATATATAAAGGTCAAGATAATAACATGAGCTACAAAAGGATCAGAAGTTTATACTTTTAATGTAATATTTTTTATTTATTCTCCTTAATTAAAAAGATGAAAGACAAAATATGAAAAGAGCCAGAACTAGTGGATGCCAGGTGAATAAAAAGCGGCCAAACCTAATGATTTGAGTTCAATCCCCAGGCCCAACATGGTGGAAGGAGAGAATCTACTCCCACAAGTTGTCCTCTTACTTCCACACACAGGCCATGGTACCTACACACAAACGCATACACCCAGAGAGACATACACACACACACATTGAGATAGCAGATAGATATAGACAGACAGACAGACAGACAGACAGACAGACAGACAGACAGACAGACAGACAGATAGATAGAC